AGTAACATGCTCTACCTTGAAGATAAATCAGGAATTACAACAGGTCAGAATGCAACTATGTGGGTAGCTTTGGGTGTTCCCTACTTCACCGATAGCTATTGGTGAGCTTTTGGATGCAATTCAGGTGTTGCTTGTCACCTATAAAAGCTGTTTGTGGCTTATAACCTGGTTGTTTGGGACCAGCTTTCTCCTGTTGTTTCTACCTAATCAGCAAGATCTGCTATAGTTGGCACTCTCCAGGTCAAAGTGTTTTAAGCACTGTCGTCATGTAGGACCTAGGGGATGCAACTTCTTGTTGCGTCTTGTGGGAGGTAAGGTGAGATGATTCTCTCCTTGATGGTGTATTTTGGCCTTTGATAATGATCAACTGAGTTTTATCTCCAGATGCTCTGTACTTATAGCTGTTTGGTTGCCGTTCTTGTCTTATCTTTTTATGCTGTTATTTCAACCTTAATATGTATGCTGCCTAGAATTACCTTGGTGATTGAGGCAGCATGCAAGTTGATAAATAAATGAATGTGCACTGACAGATCTGTGTGTATCACGCTGAAGTAGCCTAGAAAAAATTTCAGGTGAATTAGCTTTCATGGATACTCTGCATAATAATTCCAGTGTCAAATGGATTTAAGCCAATTTGTGTTACCCAGAATAGAGAAAACAATTAAATTGAAGGATCATAACAAGCAAGGCAATAAGAATTCCAACAAAATATTTCTGAATCTGGGCACAGTGGGAACATCACACATATTCAAAGATCAATCTATTTCAAAGAATATGTCTAAAAGGGGAAGGATGGGGGGAGAGAGAAAAAGAGAGAGAGAAGGAAGGAAAACACATGCATTTGTGTGTAAATATATACTGTATAGTCAACAGTTGTCTATGTATATATTTAGATATCTACACACAAATAGATATGTACACATATGGTTGTGCATGCATGTTTATATGCACATATTTAAAATACCTAGTCTAAAATGTCCTCCAAATGTGATATTTTCTATAGTTTCTAACCTTTGTAAAGCTATTCAGTCTCATCACCATATTATATCTTGTGCCAGCTGAACCCTTTACAGTGCATTTGTGTGTGTGTCAGATCAGAAATAAACCCCACTGAAATGAATAGGGATTATTTCCAGGTAAGTGGCTAAAAGAGCACGCTGTAAATTTATTATGTACTGTGTGAAATTTTGTCATACCTAACCAAATTCCTGCTGTGAATTGTGTGGGACTTATTCTATGTTCAAGTATCATGACTCCAGTGACCATATGTCCTTTATTATAAGGGATAATCCTTTGTTTTTCAGAAAGCTGTCCTTTAGACTTATTTTTCAAAAACTCACTTTTGTTCTTTATTTTGGTCATTTAACTTTTACCATACAAATGATACCACTTAATGAACAGTCTTTCACATTCATATGAAAAATATGGAAATGAAATGGTCTTTTTAAAATAAATTTACATATACTGTTTGATTTTAGAAATTTTTATTAGCATATTCATTTTTGTAAAGTTTCTCTTGGTTTTGCTCTTGAATTTTCCTTTGTAAAGCAAAGTTATAAACATAAACCATTAATTTTTTTATCTTTATGAACCTCTTTCAGATTTGCCCCTTTTTCAGGTTGGTCCTTTATTTTTTTCCCAAGAAAAGATGGTCACCGTAATCATGACAGAGGATGAAAAATAGTTCTAGCTACTCTGTCTCCTCTATTCAGTTTTATAAAGCACTCTCGTGTTTCCTTTCTCTCTTGGGAGTCTTTTGTTTCTAAAGTTAAGGAACCATATTGCCCACCAGAAATTGTATTTGACTACTGTAAGACTAACATGTAGGCCTGGATGGGTCCAGGCTTTGCGGGCCCTGCTCAGTTTACTTTCAGAGGCCATCCGATAGGCCCCATTCCACTTACTACATGGCTGGCAGCCTCCCCAGCTGCTTGCTTGCACCTCGCAGTACCACACTGTTAATTATACCTATCCTGATACACAACCCTTGATGCAACAGGCAGCAAGGTCGGATGTATAGGCTGAAAGCTCTCTTCCTCTCAGTCCATGCTAGAGCAGATAGGAGAATGGCCTAGCAGGCGTCTTTCTTGCTTCCCTCTGCTTCCCTCTTACATGTAGGCTTCATTAAGATCAACCAACCATCCATTCAGGCTCTTACATGTAGGCTTCATTAAGATTCTCTAACTGGAGCCAACCATCCATTCAGGCCACTCCCCAGTGCCATCTAGCTGAGCTGCAGTGGGACCTGGTTGGCTGTACACCACCTGCTGGTACCAGGCCTGCTAACAGCAATTTGCTGAGAGAGCAAGTTAGGATGGGAAACAGTTATTATATGCACACAACCAATTCCATTGCTGATCTACTGAAAACTGAAACCCACCCTGCAGCTGCTATAAAGGAACAGAAGGTAGGAGGCAATAATGTCTGCTTTAGCCCTTAGTTGACATTTTCAAAAGTATTGCAGAGCCAATTTTTCCAGGTTATTTTTTCTGATCGCAAAATCTGACTTAATCTATACATCTATGTCAGTATCTATGTCTACAGTTATATTGCTCTATCTATATCTATGCACACACACGTGCAGTTTCAGTTGCCTCAAAGTGCAACCACTGTGCATCTTCATTCTCCAAATTGCCTTTACCTTAAGGGTTAGGGTGCTAAATTCGCTTCACTTCATGCTGTTTCTCTCATATATGCAAACCCAATTAGAGCTTATTAAATTATAACTTATGATTCTAGGATAAACTGATTGTATAAAGCACTTTCAAACAGGGGGAGGGACATATACTGTCCTTGGCATTTAATTAAAATTCTGCTGTACTCTCAGTCAGCTTGAAAGCTAAATGCAAGGTTAGATGCTCTGCTGGAGATAAATCACAAGGCTATATGTTAAACCTAAGGAGGGTATTTCTGCAAATCTGCAAAAGAGGAAAAACATGGCAGAAACTACAGATAATGTCTATTTAGATCCTAACTTTAATTGCACAGCTGTGAAAGGCTCGCTCTTTTGGATTGCCTAACTCTGAATGGGGTAAATATTTCCGAGGAGATAGAGATTACTAATAACACTGCAACAGTTTACTGAAATGACCATGTCAGATTTTGGAATATATCTGTACCAGCCACCTGTCTTCTAACACCTTCCTTTTTCTCAGTTTCTAAGACTTTCTTTTCTGTTCCCTTCTGCATTCAGAAAACCATTGGGGAGGAAAGGACAAATTCCTCATCAGACATCTAAGTTGATCACTTGCAGAGATCTACCTAAGTTATGCAGGGGCAGGGCTGCAAGCTGCCCACTCCTCTAGTTCTCTACAGTAATTACAGAATAGATCCTTAAATTATCTCTCTCAAAATAGACATTAAGCCTTGGATGAAAATGCTTGTGCTTTCTTCCACATGCATACTGCAGGCAGCTGGATATTAGAAAAAATTACGGAGAATCAGCTTTAAGCTTGGGCATCCCAGTGGATGGCATTTTAACTTGGATCACATTGCAGGGATAAAGTAACTGGTTTCCCTTAAGCTTTTTGAGAAAGCGTTTAAGCCTATACCAAATCACTGCAAATCTCTAAATGGATTCTATTTCTTATCTAAGGAATGCCTCTCAGGCCCCCATCATCTCCACCTTTCCTATCATAAACCAATAGGCACAAGGTTATCTTTCTAGGCCACACAGCTGTTTGCCTTCCTCAGATGGATATGGAAGAGGGAATAAACTTCTTACAGATAGACCAGCTCCAAAACAGGATCAGGCTGAAGGATAAAGGTCAAGATCCAGTTAAGCACACTGAATGTACTGAAAGGGTCCTGGGGAATGTGAAGTATGAGTACATCTTCAAAATATATTACTATGGATTGCACAATTGTTTTTTTCTTTTAAGTTTCAGTTTATGTTCATCAATTTCTTCCAAATATAAATTGTACCAATAGGTTTACACATCAAAATAAGTGGGTAGCCAGACCTATCCTCATCATTCCTTCACTATGTGTGTTTTCACAGCAGGGGGAAGAAAAAGCCTGTCACTATGAGAAGCTACTAAGCCACCCTTCAGTTCAATTTTAACAGCACGCTGAAATGAAGGCAATGCACCATGGTCCCTTGACTTTAGCAGGGATGGACGACAGCTAGAGTTGGGAGGCTAGATATGGCAAGAGTTCTCCCCAGTGGGAAACCATCCATTTCACCATGAGAACCCAGTGGTGAAATGCCGGCAATGGATTGGCACAAACCAAGTGCATTGAAGATCTGAATCATTTTGGAAAATATCTGTGGACTTCAGATATACATACTGCGAGCTGGAAAATATTTTGTTCTTGTGCTTCACCTTTCTTGACCAGGTTCCTCTCCATGCAATTTAATGTTTTTCTTCAAATTTCAGCCTTCAGCCAAATTTGTAAAACAAAGACATGGCACGCTATAACAGCTGGCAAATATGTTCCTGCTGTATCCCATCTGTTTTAAAAGGTGCTGTATGTTTATTAGGGAGAATTATGCTTATGATCAATTTAGGGTACTTGCTTCCTGATTCATCTGCTAATATGTTCTGGTTTGAATATATTATTTTGTCACTTCCCTTGGAATCTTCAGTCACAAAATAGCCTTCCTTTGCCAAATAAAGAATAAAGATACATAAAATATGATGAGACTGAAGGATTCTTGGGCTGTTATTAAATCCATATTCCTCTGTCCAGGAAACTGGCAGGAACATTTCTTTAGAAGCAATTATTTAACCATGCTGTGTGTTAAAAAGTGTTCGTTTTTTCTGAATCTCCCTGAAGTTAGCTTCAATAGATAGCTTTGGATTCTGTTATATGGTAAGAGAGGGAGAAAAACATTGCTCTGTTCCTATTTTCTGTACCATGCACGATTTCAGACATGTCTATTATGTCCCTAGCCTCAGAAAATACAGTACCTTGCTGTCTTGTCTGTTCTTGGCAGCTAATCAGGGTCAGCCCTGATTAATACTTGAATAAGGGATGACTTAGGAATTCCAGAGCTGTTATCTAGTTTGGGAAATCTAAAACCTTTCCAGAAGATTGCAATTGCAAACCCTAACAATTCTGACACTCTGAGTGAACTGCTTATGCTTATCCTCTCCTGCACTAATCTATACTAACTTGATCATCCAGTCTCCTTAGAACAGGAGGACACTAAGACACATCCTTAGCAGCTCTCCCTAATTAGGATAAATGCCTCTCTGCTAACCTCACTGAGAAAGCAGAGTGATTAACTATGGAGATCCTTGGGTAGCTTGGGCAGAAACTGAAACTGAAAAGGATAGATGTAGCTTGGAATCACTGCCTGTGTGACAGTTGCTGGCCATGTCTTATTGACCTCTGGGGTTGGTGTGTTCATTGGAGACAAAGATCCTAATATGGACTGAAAATTGACTGGCCCATCAACTTCATAACTTTGCCAAGAAGAATGCATAGATGCAGTTACAAGAAGCACATCTTCACATTTATCATGCCCCCCTCCCCACTAGCTTTTTTTAAAGTTAACCCCACTCCCAAGTGCAGTGATCTTTCACATGCTTTAGGGCCTAATTATTTTAACTGCCTTGTTCAGTTTCAATATATATACTCCTTTCTCCTCCACAAAAGCTGGATTTTGTATACATTCTAACTGCAGCAAAATTGAAGATCTTTAAAAACCTGCTTGAGTAGCAATTTTCACACATGAGAATGCACAAATGAGATCCTCTACCAAAAATAGACGGGATTATATTATTACATTACGTTACATTACATTATATTGCTTTTTACTCTTGACGACCATTTTTGTTTTGAATTATGTGTTTACCATCGTTATGTTTTGTGAAGTTTTATATTGTGGTTTCCATTTACATTTTGTTCACTGCCCAGGGCCACTGTGGTAAGAAGGGCGGCCATATACAGTGGTACCTCGGTTCATGAACTTAATTTGTTCTGCGACTCTGGTCGCGAACCGAATTGGTCGCGAACCGAATCAAATCTTCCCATAAGGTTCAATGTAAATACGGTTAATCCGTTCTGACCCCTATGAATGTGGTCGCCAACCGATTTTGGTTGCCAACCGAATCAAATTTTCCCATAAGATTCAATGTAGATACGGTTAATCCATTCTGAACCATAG